TTTGGAGAAAGGCAGCTGCTACTTGCCTCATTGTCCATTGTGATGTTGGAAACAGATGACAGCAAATAAATACACTGAAAAGCTGTAGAAATGTTTTGAACAACATCCTTTTTTTTATTGCAAAACATTTTGTTACAGAAATTTCAGGAAGTTCTACTGCAGTAACTTCAACTTCTGTTTTTTTTTTATTATATATCTAACGACACAGTCTAAAAGTGCATTGTGAATCCAGTAGACTCTTAAAAAAGAACTATTTTCCCTAGTAATATATATATATATATATTTGAATAAATCAAAATTCAAAACCTTCATATTTATAGGAATTCATTTAAAAATGGCATTTTAATTGTTTCCCCCTCCATGTACAAATGATTGGTATAACAGTTACAAATGATGACTGAGATACTATATCATTACATAGCTATTAGTACAGTAATATTGCAAACACTGTTCCAGACAGCACTAGCAGCACGTAGCTTCTCCTCACATTAAACAACTCGCAGGGTGGAAGAAGGACATACCTTTAATATAGCTTACTGTTGTGCACACATACTGCCATTCCTCTCTACTATCATATAAACAAAAGTTACCATTCTCCACCAGCAACAGCAGCAGCAATACCATAACCAACCATTTCCCTCAAGAGAACTAGTTGTCTGTGGAACCCACCTGGTAGAGCTGAAAGGAATTATCTGCTGCACTTTCATTTTTAACACACACTCTGTGGGCAGTCTACGGAATAAACCACTGGGCTTTCCTGACTTCAGTTCACTCTGTCCTTAACCTCAGTATTAATGTGTGTAATGGCTGGAAGTGGCATAAAGTTGGAATTGCCAAGCCCAATTCTACTCTCTGTTACTTCACGGTGAATACACAGTAACTCCACTGGCATCAGTAGACTTCCTGCAGATTTACACCAATGTAATAGGCATCATAATCTAGCCCAAGGATGGGCAATAACTTTTATGGGGGGGGCACTTCACCAATGTTGGTAGTGGGCACAGGCCAGCTGCAAGGGAGAAGTTCCCTATAGGCACTGTGTGCAGTGGGAGAGGGAGAAGAGACTTTGTGTGCTCCCCCGTGGGGCAGGGGAGCAAGGGAGGTCTTTCCCCCTCTGCACCACCCAAAGTACACGGTGCCCAGAAGAAACTGCCAGACATTTTGAACAGCTGACAGTTCCCTCTGGTGCCACATGCCCCTGATGGGGAGAGGAGACTTCACCTGATTGGCCTGGGGAAGGGGGAGCGCGCAAAGTCTCTCACCCCCACCCTGCTGGGATGTGCAACACCTAGAGGGAATTCCCAGTTGTTTTGAACAGCTGGTGGTTCCCTCTGGTGCCGCATGACCCTGGCAGGGGGCGGAGACTTTGCATGGTCACCCACCCCACGGTCTTGGATTGGTCTAGGGGTGGGGGCATAGCAGGGCGGGCTGGATCATATAGTTTGGCAGGCCACATCTTGCCCCCACCTCCCGATCTAGCCAGTAATCTACCTTGGAAAGGGGAAGAATGAAACATGTTTTATTACATTGTTTTATAGCCAACTATTTTGGAGAGTAACAGTCATGGGAGTGGAGACAGCCACTTATTTCATGTCATGAGGAGTACTGTGATGTATTTATGTCAGATGACAGACAGGTAAATTCTAATATATGGCAACGAAGGGATTTATTATCTAAATCCTGTGCCTTCCACGTCCTTTACTTTTGTCCTCCTCTCCTATGTGGAATGTGCTCTGGCTTAAGTGAGATTGGTGAGGGAGAGAGCTCATGCTGCAATACGCTTAGGTGCCTTTCTTAGAAAAAATATCTACTTAAGTTGTCTTATTATAAATTTACATTAATCTGGAAACATGATTTTGCTGTCTCAAATGGGCTTATTTGTGCAAAAATGCAAATTTATTGTTTTTCTATCTGTTAGGTGGTGGTGTAGGAGAAATTCATAACCATCACAACCACCTAATCACAACTCCCACTTTGGAAGTCCAAGAATGACGTCATCAATTTTCCTACTGTTGGTCGCTGAATCCACTTTAACCTGAGCAAATACAAAAGGACTTTTGTTCCTTCATTTTAAGATCTTGCACTAACAGTTTAGAGAGAGATTTTTGATAATTTCAGGGTGCTCAGTCCAAACTTGTAAACTGATAACTTTTGTTTTTGGGAGAACAGGCCTTGTCACTCCAACTACAGGAATTAAGATGGAGGTCCTTTGCTGAGAATGGCACTCATTTTACTGTGTGGCTACGTCTAGACTGGCATGATTTTCTGCAAATGCTTTCAATGGAAAAGTTTTCCGTTAAGTATTTGCGGAAGCCACATGGCAAAATTGCTCTATACTCCAGATAATTAATGCTGATTTAAAGACTTTTAGTGAAAATAAATCTGTGTATATGGATGGGATGGATGATTTTGTCCTGGCTTAAGAGATGTAATATTTGTAAAAGAAAGCAGAATATTTGTTTCTTAGAAACTGTCTGGCACTTTGAAAATGCAAAAGTAAAGCATATCAGCCAAGTTTGAACAATTACTCATAGGCTGTGTCTAGACTGGCAAGTTTTTCCGCAAAAGCAGCTGCTTTTGCGGAAAAACTTGCCAGTCTAGACACAGCCTATGAGTAATTGTTCAAACTTGGCTGATATGCTTTACTTTTGCATTTTCAAAGTGCCAGACAGTTTCTAAGAAACAAATATTCTGCTTTCTTTTACAAATATTACATCTCTTAAGCCAGGACAAAATCATCCATCCCATCCATATACACAGATTTATTTTCACTAAAAGTCTTTAAATCAGCATTAATTATCTGGAGTATAGAGCAATTTTGCCATGTGGATTAATGAGCTTTTTCTCCCTGTTTCTTATGTTTTAGCAATTTGTATCTCATTGCCATTAGTTACCAGATAGCTGTGCTAAAAACTGTAATGAAATAACCTTATCTTTTCCAAAGCAGAGAGCTAAATGTCTCAGCACTGCTGAAAGTTCACATCTTTGTGTTTAATACTTCAATTTCATGAAATTTTGAAGTGTAATTTACAAAAAATTAAAAATCATTTTAGTTTGCTTAAAGATTGGACATAATGTAAAAGTGTAAAAACTTCATATTTTTATTCCTAACTGGATTCATCATTACAGGCAGGCAATAATAAAATGTTAAGCCTCATAGTAGTCCAAAGAAATTTATGGAACAATGCATGCATCTTATTGACACAAAGAAAGACTGGACTTTAAGGAAGAGAAATTACTTTAGTCATATCACGTTGTTGTGAAAGAATATTATGCTATAATCCAATATTTAGGACAAGTGTACACCCAACTATAGAATAGATTCACTTATCTGGAAACAGAACAGATTACTATATGAAAATTTATAAAATACTGTACACTGCTTCCTTAATTGGCCAGCATATGTAAACAAACAGCTAAGTCAACTGAGTTTCAAAATATTATTTAAAATTCATTTATCTTATCTTTTTGCATAAACATGCCAGTTCATCTTTCACACTATCACAACTCACCAATCACAGCTCACAGTGGCTCATTAGAGACTTATACATCAGCTCATACGGACATTTACAGTGGCGTTGTACAAAAGATTGTGAGAGACATACATCAGTTACAGATTGTGATCAAAATGCATAATCCATATGTATGTATACTATCAACTTGGATAGTGAAACAATGTTCAATGCAACATATGCTATTTTATTGAATGTTACAGATTTATAAATATGACAATGCAATGTTAAAGCTGACCTGTAACATTCACTATATAAGCACATGTCAAAACCATACTGGATTACACATGGGCTATATATATTTACACAATTCATAAAATATCATTCAATACATAATATATCATATGGCACAAGCTATAGTTATAAGATGATGAAGGTTGAGGGTTTTTTTAATCTCTGCAAAAGAAGTTATAACAACCTGAACCATTCAGTGTTGAGAGTGGGGGCAAAATTCTCACCCCACTGAAGTTAACAAGTGAAGATAAACAAAATACTCTACCATCCATCATAATACATGCTATAGAAACCTTGTATTAGGTAAATGGGAAACATTCAGGAAAAGTTTTATTTTGTTATTTTGGAATTGCATTGTTTAAATAGCTGAATTTAGATATATAATAGCAATTAATAGTAGTAACTAAAGTGTCCTGGTTCACCAGGCCTAGAGTTTATGCTCCAAGCCAATAAAGTGCTGTATTCTAATTATATTCCAAGCTCCTGTGTTTGGGAAACCCCTTTACCCCGAAAAAACTAAGAATGCATCACCTAGAGGGGAGCTCTGCACCTTGAACTAATAAAGTGATGGGGTGTGTGTGTCACAAATTAATTCTTGTACATATTAATCATATTGATGAAAATGGAAAAATGTATGAATACCTTCAGAAAACATCCATAAATTAAAAAAGCAATAAAGACAAAGGCTGATTTAGAGAAACCTTAGGAGCAGACTGATACAAAAGTTGGCACATTTGAAGCAGACTGTTAAAGAATGCATTGTCCCTGGGAAAGCTATTGTTTAACAATCAGCCCAACACAAGCACACTTCATAATTCACTGAGTGACAGGTCAGAAATTGTACCCTTGATCAGTGACACATGTGACAGAAAAGCAGTACGTAGACCTCAAGGCAATTGAGTCAACATAGTCTGTGGCTCAAGCTGAATATAGCTCACAGGAGGGTTGATTTAACAAAATATGAAAAGGAAATAATTGGTGCACTAACAATACATTTGTGTTTTAAAATCAACACATTTGCATTTGTTTGTTTCACCAACTTTCCACAAATTGAGTCATTGCTCACAATTGTTTTGCTACTCCCTTTGTCTCTTCTTGAAGATCAGATACTTAATTTTGAGGTAGGGCTTTGTTGCCTATCACTCAGAGGCCC